AGAAGCAGATGGGCAGATGGCATTGCGCCGCACGGAGGCAAAGAGGGGGAGGAGTGGGGTGGTACAGCCATGCGAAAATGTGTCTCGCGTGCCCAAAGCGGGCAGGGTGAAAAGAGGAGGGAGGGGGGGGGGGATATCTCGATCTCTGAGGCCGCGCGCGCGGAACGACGCAGCCTTGCCTTTTCAAATGCCAGGCGACAATCTGCCCACGTCGGCCAGTGCATCGCGCACGTTTGACGTGGGGCGCAGCATCTCGGGACTCTGCAGCGGCCGCAGGGCCTCGGGACTGGTGCTGAAGCTCAGCAGCAGTTCGGCCTCTGCCGCCTGTGCGCGCGAGCGCGCCGAGGCGCCATAGGAGTCGGCCGAGGAGAGGGAGGAGGCGGGAGCACTACTGCGAGGCACTGCAGCAGCAGAAGAAGAAGAAGAAGAAGACGAGAAGGAGGTGGAGATGGGGGAGATGGCAGAGGGAGGAAGTGGTTGGGAAGGAGGCAAAGGCAGCAGAGAGGAGGGCAGCATGGGCCAGGCGGGCGTGCTGGGAAAAGACGAGGTGCCGTTGCTGTTGCTGCTCTTGCCGTTGCCTCCTCCTCCATTTGTAGAGGCGCAGCCGCCGCCGCCAGCAGCGGAGCCGGAGCCGCGGCGCAGAATGGGCGACTCGGCAGAGAGCGACATGATGGGACTGGTGGCGCTGCGCGCGGCGAAGTGAAACGCCATGGACGAGGCGGGCGAGAAGAGGCCGGGCAGGACAGAGGAGGAGAGGCCCGAGGAAGGCAGCCCCGCCGCCCCGCCCCCGACGGAGGAAGAGGAGGAGGAGGAGGAGCAAGACTTGAGAGAGGCCTCGAGGCTGGAGATGCGAGATTGCAGCTCGTAGATGTACTCTGAACAGCCGGCCCCCCCACGGCGAGCGAGGCTTCGGGTCAGCGAGAGAGACGGAGAAGAGCAGCGTCACTCTCTCTCTCGAAGCCCAAACGACAGAATTGGCCCTCACCGATGGCATGAGTCAACACCTCCAACTTGTGCAATCCCAGTTCCTCCTCTTTGGCGCCCTCCTCTGCCGTCGTCGACTGTTCCTTCTTCTCCTTGCGTCTGGAGCGCTTGCGTTTGCCGGCGCCGCCCGCGGCGCTGCTCGGCTGCGCCGCGGCGGCGGCCTCCTGCCGCTCGGCCTCCCTGCGCGCCTCGACCTCGGCAACGCACGCCGGCACGAGCGAGCAGAGCGTGAGGAGACAGTCGTTGATCTTCTCGCGGCGGCGGCGCTCGATTTGCGAATGCGTGGCGCGCCGCTTCGAGTCGCGCGGCGCCTTGTGCGCGGGCGACGAGGCAGCAAGGCCACTCATGGCGCGAGTCGCGGGCAGAGGCAGCGCAAAGAGAGGAGCGCTGCTGCTGCTGCTGCTGCTGCTGCTGCTGCTGCTGCTGCTGCTGCTGCTGCTGCTGCTGCTGCTGCTGCTGCTGCTGCTGCTTGCCGCGAAGCCGACGGTGCGGGACTGGCGCGAGGTGCTGGCGCGGCTGCTGCTGGTCAGGCGGCGACTCGGATCGTGCAGAGAGAATGCAGGACTCGGCGAGGCAAAGGGCGTGGACAGCAGTGCGGGCATGTGAGACGGACAAGTGGGATGGTGGAGGAGAAGGAAGGGCAGCGCATGCACTGCCGTGCCCTTCGCCCAGCAAGCAGCTCAGTAGCGTCAGGCGCGTGCTGCTCGCACCAGCTCTCCAGCGTCCGCAAAAGTTGGCACTGCCTTGCCGCTGCAGCGTGCGTCGGTCTGTGCGGAGGAGAGCCGGGCGGGCGGGCGGAGAGGAGACTGGGCCGCTGCCTTGCCTTGTGCTTGGAAGAGCAGGCAGGCCTCCTCGGCGTCAGGGCGCGTGCGCTCGCCTCCGCCTCTGCCTCCTCTCACGCGGCCTGTGTCCAGCCGTACCGATCGTCGTGCGCCGTTTCTGCGCTGCTGATCTCCATCTCCCTCCTTCTCCGCGCGCGTTGCAGCAGCAGCATCTCAGCAGCAGCAGCCGGCAGCGCAGGCACCGCAGCAGCGCAGCGAACAGCCTGACGGAGGCAAGAGTGCGCACGTCGCGTGACGAGGGCGTGCGCGCGCCAGGTCGTGTGCGCGTGCCATGCGCGGCGAGCGCACGTTCGCGCTGCTAAGCCACGCTCCCTGCTCCGCCGAGCCGCGCCGCCAACGCACCCGCCGGCCGGCGCCCCGCACATCGCCGCCGCCCGCCGGCCAGCTGACCTTCTCCCGCTGAGAGGAAGCAGAGGCCCAGGATTGTTCTGGCTCCTGAGCTCCGGCAAGGAGCTGCGTCGAGGCGAGGGCGGCGCACGCGCAGAGGAAGGAGCTCAGGAGGCGCAGAACCAGGGTGCCTGCTCCCACGGCGGTCCGTGCACTCTGGCGCACCAGGAACGGGTCCAGCGCGACTGCCCACGTGACCGACTCCGCGCCGTCATGAGCTCGTCAGCCGGCCTCCACAGCGAGGCGCGCGCGCGCGATGAGCGCTCCTGATGAACGAGGCAGCTTCGCGAGCGCCTCGCTCTGCTCCACCTCCTCCGTGTCCGCTCCGCACCTCGCTCTGCTCCACCTCCGTGCCCGCTCCGCACCTCCTCCTTGCCCGCTCCCAACGCCTGGAGCGCTCGCTCTGCGGCTCACCTTTGTCCACCTCGTGCCCCTTGGCTCTCTGCCTCCGCCTCGCCGCCCACCCTTCCCACCCTCATTCGCGGTCCAGCGGCGCCGCCGTGCGCTCGCTCGCTCAGCTGCCCGCGCCCAGCCCCAGCATGTCGTCGCGCATCATCGTCGGCGTCTCGGCGCTGCTGGAGAAGGTGCGCTTTGGCTAGCATGCCGAGCTGCCGCCTCTGCAAGCATACTGCTGACCCTCTGCTGCTGCTTGCCGCTCCAGATGCGTTCCAGCGACGCCGACTTCCGGTGCGTGTGGCCGGTTGCGTCTTGCCAGCCTGCGCAAGTGTGCGCGTCAGCTGACGCTATCTGGCTGCTCACCGGCGCAGGTACATGGCGCTCAACGATCTCATGAGCGAGCTGCGCAAAGACGTCTCGGCCGCACCGCTCGATGCTCAGCTCGAGACGCAAGTGGTGGCGCGCGTGCTCGACACGCTGCGCGACAAGAATGGCGAGGTGAAGAACATGGCTGTGCGCTGGTGAGTTCGCGGGCGGCGCGCAGAGAGATGGCAAAGCCAGCAAAGTGGGCTGATGTGCGGCGCCTGGGGGGTCAAGTCTGGGCATTCTGGTCGCGAGAATCAGACCGGCGCAGATGCAGACGATCGTCGATCGCCTCACGGAGTTCATCTCGTCCAAGGAGGAGGAGCAGCGCGACATTGCTTCGCTCGGTGAGCCGGTGCATGGGATGCCGAGCCACGAAGCCAGAGAGCTCACGACACGCACTGGCGCACCAGGCCTCAAGACGGTGCTGGCGGAACTGCCGCTCGAGTCGGACATCTCGACGATGGCGGGTGCCAAGCTGGCGCCCAAGTTGCTGGCGCAGATCGGCGAGGTACGCTTTCTGCTTGCAGCGTAAGAGGCTCTGTCAGGTGTCCCACTCATGCTGTGTGCGCTCCTCTCGCAGGCTTCCTCATCACAAGAGCTGCTCATCGACAGTCTCGATCTCCTGGCCGATCTCTACTCTCGCTTCCCCTCCATTCCCTCCTCCGACAAGGGCTTGCAGCGCGCCTCTCTCGAGGCTCTTCTCGCCTCGTTGCCCCACGATCGCGCCGCCGTTCGCAAGCGTGCCGTGCTTGCCCTCGGCGCGTTGGCCGCCTCCAGCACGTCCGAGATCTTCACGGCCCTTGCCTCGGCCATCATCACCGCGCTCGATGCCGCGAGCGGCGCGGCGGGAGCGAAGGAGCAGGAAAAGGCCAGGACGATGGTGCAGCTCGTGGCGACGCTCGCGAGGACTTGTGCGGCGAGGATTGGCAGACGATTGCCGGAGCTGATGCCGCGCATCCTGGCGGCCGTGCAGAGCGAGGACGACGAGCTGCGCGAGGCTACACTGCAGGCGATGGAGGCGATTCTCTTGCGCTGCCCCGCCGACGTCACGCCGTTCGTGATTCAGATCGTCGATGAGGCGGTCAAGCTGCTGCGCCACGACCCAGTGAGCAGCCAGCGCGGGCGTAGAACGAAGCCCAGCGAGGGTGATGTGCTGAAGCCTCTTGCGACAACAGAACTATGCAGGCGGCGACGACTCGGATGACGAGATGGCGGACGAGGAGGATGAGGATGACGAGGAGATGCTCGATGAGGCTGAGTGGGTCGAGAATCGGGCAGCAAGGCACCTGCCGTTGTTGAGCTGACACCCGCCTCGGCCCCTCTCGCCACAGCTACTCGGACGACGACGACCTCTCCTGGAAGGTGCGCCGCGCCGCCGCCAAGGTCATTGCCGCGGCCGTGACGACGCGGCACGAGCAGCTGCTGGCCTTTGTGCAGAGCGTCGCGCCGGAGCTCGTCTCGCGCTTCTCGGAGCGAGAGGAGAGCGTGCGCATCGAGGTGCTGCAGACGTTCCTGGCGCTGCTGCGCCAGCTGCAGCTGCATGCTGGCACGCCGCAGCTGACCGACGTCATTGGCGCCAGTCCGGGAGCGCTCAAGCGGAAGAGAGATGCGATGGAGACGAGCGAGGGCGACGCGAGGTGAGTGAGGAGAAATGAGATTGCGCAGTGCGAGTGCTGATGTCGCTCTCAGCCCACGCGCCCGTCTCGCGCAGCTGGTGCCCAGCATTGCCAAGGCTCTGTCGCGCGAGATGCTCAGCAAGTCGATGGCGACGCGCTTTGCCAGCTACACGGTGCTGCGCGAGCTCGTGTTGGTGCTGCACGGCGGCCTCGATGCGCACATCGGGCTGCTCGTCGGCCCGACGGACAAGGCGCTGCGCGGAGTCGATGCCGGCGCCAGTGCCTCTGGAGCCAATCTGCGCGGCGAGGTGCTGCTCTTCCTGCGCGTCCTCTTCCAGTTTCACGCACCGCAGGCCTTCGAGGCACACCTGGCGCAGCTCGTGGCCGTCATCGTCGCGGCGATCGACGACAAGCTGCACCGCGATGCCGTCGAGGCGTTTGCCGTGTGCAGCCAGCTCGTCGCCGTGCTGCGCCCGCTATCCGGCAGTGGCAGCCCGGCAGGCTCGGCGTACAAGGCGCACGTGGAGCACATCTATCGCGCCGTGCTTGCGCGCCTGCGGCGCCCCGACTCGGACCAAGAGATCAAGGACCGCGGCATTGCGACGCTCGGCGTGCTGCTTGCACATGCCGGCGACGACCTGGCCGCGCACTTTGACGAGTGTCTGCCGGAGCTGCTGGAGCGTCTGCGCAACGAGGTGACGCGCTTCGCCACCGTCAAGGTCGTCGGCCGGGTGGCGGCCAGTCGCGTCTGCCAAGGCGCCGCCTTTGAGGCCTTTGTGCGCGACTGCATCGCCGAGGTCAGCACGCTGCTGCGCAAGAGCAGCCGGCCGCTCAAGCTGGCGGCGTTTGAGACGCTCGATGCGCTCCTGCGGCGCGCAGGCGGCAGCGGCCTCGACGACGCGCTCTGCGCACAGATCTTTGCTGAGATCGAGCCGCTCATGGGCGCCGAGGGCGATGTCAACCTGCTGCCCATGGCGCTGCACGCCGTCTCCCTCCTGCTCGAGCTCCACACCGCCACGGCCGCACCCACAACGCAGAGCCGCCTCGTGCCGCACCTGCTGCTGCTGCTGCACTCGCCGCTCATGCAGGGTGCCGCCCTCGACGCCGTCACGATGCTCTTCAAGACGCTGGCGCGCGTGCAGCCCGCCGCGGCGCCCGGCTGCATCGAGGCGCTGATGAGCACGCTCAAGGCGGCATCGGGCAAGGGCAGCGCCACGCCTGCTTCGGCTCAGACGCACGCCACCGTGGCGCGCTGCATCGGAGCCGTGCTCGTCTCGACGCCCCAACAGGCCGAGGCTGTAGTGACGGGCGCACTCAGGACGCTGGAGCGCGGCGAGGCAAAGTCGAGCGAGGTGCACATCTACTTCAACCTCCTGCTGCTCGGCGAGATCGGCCGCTTTGAAGACCTGGCAGCACGCAGCGGCGTGCTCGACGGCGTCGTGGCCTTCTACGCCGCAGACTCCGAGCAGATCAGGAGTGCGGCGGCGTTTGCGCTCGGCAACATGGCCGTGGGCAGTCTGGCCGTCGTGCTGCCGCTGCTGGAGCAGCACATTGCCACGGACGACGCCAAGCGCCGCCTGCTGTCGCTGCATGCGCTCAAGGAGCTCATCAGCCATGCCTCGCCCGCGGCGCTGGCGTCGATTGCGCAGCGCCTCTGGACGCCCCTCTTTGAGCACTGCGAGACGGCCGAGGAGGCCACGCGCACCATTGGTGCCGAGTGTCTGGCGCGCCTCACGCTCAACGATCCAAAGACGAACCTGCCGCAGCTCAAGACTCGCCTGCACTCGCCCAGCGCCGCCACGCGCGCCGCCGTCATCTCGGCCGTGCGCTTCACGCTGACCGAGAGCCGCGCCTCGTACGACGAGCTGCTGGCGCCCGAGATGCTCGACTTTCTCTCGCTGCTGCAGGACGCGGCGCTCGAGGTGCGCCGGCACGCCGTCTTTGCCCTCAATGCCGCCGCACACAACAAGCCGCACCTCATCAGCGACCAGCTCGTCATTCTGCTGCCGCTCCTCTACCAGGAGACGCATCCGCGCCCCGAGCTGCTGCGCAAGGTCACCATGGGCCCCTTTACCGTCACGTCGGACGACGGCCTGGATCTGCGCAAGGTGCGCGGCGCAAGAGTGGGTGCTGGCTGTCCTTGTCGGTGCTGACCGCCATTGCGCGCGCTCTCTCTCTCTCTCTCTCGCAGACGGCCTACGAGACGATGCTCACGCTCCTCGACACGAGCCTGAGCAAGATCGACCTCAACACCTGTGCGTGTCCCCTGGCCTCGGCGGCCCCTTCGCTCCTGACTGACTGGCCCGCCCCGCGTTGCAGACATGGTGCGCGTCGTCGCCGGCCTGAGCGACGAGGACGGCATCAAGGTGCTGTGCTACCTGATCCTCGTGCGCCTGGCCGACGTGGCGCCGCTGCAAGTTGCGCCTCGTGAGTGCTGCGTTGTGCAGTAGGGGGACCTCGTGGATGCCCTTGCTGAGCGCCTCTCTTTCTCTCGCGCGCGCGCCAGATCTCGACAGCATTGCGCCGCCGATTCTCAGCACGCTCAAGCTCAAGCCCAAGGACGCCGCGTCGAAGCAGGACATTGAGCGTGCCGCCGAGCTGCAGCGCAGCATCTTCCGCGCCCTGGCGCAGCTCGACGGCGCCGTGCCCCACGCGCGCGCCGCGCCCAAGTTTGCCGCGCTCCTCGCCGAGGCAAAGGCGGTGCCGGGCGGCGCGTATGCGGCGGCCAGTGCCGCGGCAGCGAGCGCGGCGGGTCGCAGGGCCTAGACGCAGACGCTGGCAGCGCCACCTCACCCGAGCCTCTGCGCAGCGCTCTTTCTCCGCTGCC